CCTTCTAGAACAGTCTCATTCTTCAACTCCAGGCTTACATAAATTCTGAGAAGACACTTATCCAAAGAAGGATAATACTATTCGTCACTTATACCTTAGTATGAACTAAGAAGCTTCCCCAACAGAATAGAGAGTAGCAATGGTACTCTGACTACATAAAGCAGTTATTCCGGGTCTCCCTAATCTGCCTGAACCCAAACCTACTGGTATTGTCTCAGTACCCTTTGAGGATCTGGGTCCCCAAGCCTGGAAAGTCAAGCTGTCCTGTCTACAGTCAGCAGCTGAATCAAAGCCCACCACTGTTGACATATTCAGACACTGTTCTCAGATACCTATTGTATACAGGGTGTTATACCTGGGACAGGATCGTGGGTGTGCTAATCACAAAGAGTTGAACCCTTAGCTGTAAAGTCGGGGGTAAGTGGGAAGGGCCAACCAAGGCAAGAAATAGCTGTAAAAACAACAAGCTCCAATGATCCAGAAAGGCTTCATGGGGGAGATGGCATCTCGACAAGACACGAGGGCTAAGACAGAGATGTAGAAGAGATGGGAAGGGCAGGCTCTGCAGAAGGAAGAGGAGGAGCCAAGGCAAGTGCTCACTACACATTTTTAAAAGTGATGCCACAGCCCAGAGCAGAGCACAGAGCTGGACAGCCTCCACTGGCTGGGTCAGGTCAGTGGGGAAGCTTAGGGCTCCAAAGCCAGACTTCAGCTGGGACCCATTTTTACTGGTGCATGTATATAGGATCATGTTTAAAATGAATTTACAAATGGTAGCTCCTCTGAGCCCACAAAATCCTGCAAGTGAAGAGAGGGCTGGAGGATGTCACTCTATTCTACAGACACCAAACTGAGAGCAGAGACTCCTGGGACATAACGGCCCCCTGTGCACTCAGGATGAGAGTTGTTCCTCAGCCTGAGTCTTGGACATCCCTTGAACTCTATCCCATGTAACAATTCTGCCTACAAAGACAGCATTCTCCAAAACCTTTGTGAAGTCTTATCTCTTGCTTTGTTTGTTTGTTTTTTTTTTTTTTCTGAGTGTCTTGGATTTTGCCAAATTCCTGTTTCTGTAGAGAGCTGTCAGCATTTCTCACGTCCACATTCTTTGGTGCTCTCCACCAGGATAAAATGTTCTCTCTTTTTCTTCCTCTCCCTTTTTGGTTTTATGAGATGTTTCTTAGTGATGTCAGACTTCAAAGGAAGCCTCCCAGTCGTAAAGACTCAGAGCAGACTCACATTGGCGATTCTTTCTCATTCCTGCGTGCAGAGGACAGTGGATGCTACACGTGTCTCATCTGCTCTTGACATTGGGCCTCTTCTAAGTGATTCAACAAAGCCCCTCACTTTCTCTTTCAGTCCTAAATGAATATGTCAGGAATCAGCAGCTGCCTGAGCCCAGCAGCTGAACTCCAGTGACTGCATTGTCACCACCATCCCACCTCCCTAATCTGGGTGCTCCCTGTCGCATGTCAGCACTTTGCACCCCTCACATGTCTGCCTTCCCTCGGTAACTGGCTCCATGCTCCTGTTCTCACCCGTCTCTGAAACCCTGGCCACAGGCAGGGGAAGCAAGCTTTAATTGAATCTTTCGGCAATGATTCACAGAACAAAGCCTGACTGTCTGACCCAAAAACCACACAGTGGGGAGTTTAGAAACTGGCAGTGTAGTCAAAACAACAATGTTCTGGTTGAGCCATTGATGGAAGTTCAAAGGAAGAAAGATGTAAGTCAGAATGTGGTAATGACAAGGGTGGCCAAAGAAATACACTTACCTGGGCAGGCAGCCTGGGGAGAGGCTGCCTGAGCCTTTAAATCATGTTAGTTGCATGGGAATGGTTCCAAGGGCAACAGGGTCCCTGGGAAGAGTGCCCCAGTTGGGCAGGAGCAAGTTGAGTGATCAGGGCCTCCTAGGGCCAGCAGAATACAGTGCCACAAAGTGGGTGATTTATAAAAGCAGAAATATTTTCTCTCAGTTCTCGAGAATATGATCCCAAAATTACGGTGTCACCACACTAAGAAAGAATCTTTCCTTGCTTCTTCCAGCTTCTGGGGTCTCTGGCAATTCCTATATTCCTTGGACTATAGCTCCATCACTCCAGTCTCTGCCTCCATCTTCACATGATGGGTTCCTTTGTGTCTTCTCCTCTTCTTATGAAGACATCAGTCATCAAATTTAGTGCCTACCCTAATTCGGTACGTCTCATCTTAACTATCCACATCTGCAAAAGCCTTATTTCCAAAAGAAGTCACATGATCAGATTCCTAGTAGACATAAGTAATGGGATACTTCAGGGACTACAACTGCTTTGCAGTGTCCCATGTATGTCCCCTTTCCCCATCTTGTGGCATTAGTTATTGCTGTCCTCAATTTTGGAATCTCCTCCACGGGCTACAATCATGACTCATGATACCAAATTTTGACCTTGACCTTTTAACTTTTACAATGAGAAAACAAACAGTGCCAGCCTTTGACACATGACAGTGGGGTTTGATGGAAAGAGCACTGGAAGTTAATCTAAAGTGGACCTAAATGATCAGCCTAATGAGTCAGGTCAAACAGTCCTATCCCAGATGGACCACTGGACACTTTGCTCTAAAACCATGACACATCTCACCATGTCATTGGAAAAAGAAATAATTATAGTAAATAGACTATAATAATAAAACACAGGATAATAACATAGGAGTGAATAAAGTAGGTGTTTATCCTATTCATAACAGTCCCTGCTCATGTGTGAGGAAGGAAGATAAACCCACTGACAATTACTAAATGAACCCCTATAAGGGGTTTGGGTGTCACCAGGAGCTAAGGACTTTCAAAAATGGTATTATTTCAAAGATCTCACATTCTAGAATGTTCCTCCCTCCACACTTTCAACTCCTTCCCCATCTACTATTCTCACTTCTACTGACTGCACCTTCCCTCTCCTTGGTGAGCCTAGAAGCTTCTGCCCTCTGCACTCCCTGCCAGGCAGCACCTCTGATGATAATCCTTTGTTCTACTATGATGGGCCCGAACCCTGGGCCCAGCCATTCCATGGAAGTCCATCCAATAGTCTATAACTTCCTGCTCCACCAACCCTATCACAAGAAACCAGGAAAAATAAAGGACTTTCTCTCTAATGTTGATGCAAATGTTTCTGAACCCAGCCCCAGCTTTCCAAGAACAAAGTTTGCTGCAGGCCCAGGACACAGGAGACAGTGTGTAGATGAGATAAGAGTAAAAAAGTTGTGGACCATTACCATCCATTTAGTATAATTAGCATTTATTTGACACTCAGGAGATCCCTCATATACTATTACAAGTTTTGATAACTCTGGAACCCAACCACTTAGCAAAAAGAGAAAGCTGTCAATTGTTGGTAGCAATCTTAGTAGTAAAGTTATTTCAATGTTTATTAGTAGAAGTATCAGTAGTATTAAATTTAAGTAGATTTTCTTTTACCTCTTTTTGTAAAAGTCTATTGAGAGTTTTGGAGAAATAAGGGCCATTGTTTCTGGAAAGAATGACTCACTCAGCATTTAAGTTAGCTTTGAGCTTCCTGTGATTCACGTGGCCACTAGGGCTTACAGGCTTGGCCTATCTAAGAGTCATATTGGAAAACAAGACAGAGGCCCTGGGTGTGATTCTGAGGGTTCAATAAGGCCTAATCCTCTAAAAACTCTACCCTATTCACTTGATTGAAATGTATTGCCCTCTCAACTTGCAATCTACGAGACATCTGTGGATAGCAGGAAAGAGCCACAGATAACCAGATCTAACAGCCTATAATGTTCCTGAAGATTCATGTGGGACACACCCTAGTGTAAAAGGCTCTGCAATGGCCAACTTGGTTTCAAACCTTGATTCTACTGCTGATCAGTGGTTAGATCTTGGGGTATGACTTAATTTCTCTAAGTTCATTTCCTACATTAAAGGTGAAGATAATAAAAAGTTTAATGAGGATAGATCATCTTAACCATAAAAAGAAAACCGACAACTGGATAGGCTAAGAGTCTAATGGATAGAGCTTTCCCACCCCAATTTCTCTCTCCCTTTCTCTCCTCCACTCCAACACACACACACACGCACACACACATGCATACACAGTTAAAGCTTGAACTGACCTTAGGACCCTAGTAAAAGCTATGCCTCCCTCAACACAACTTCATTTTACTTGGTATGTGATATAAATGGGAGTTCCATGGGTAGATTGACTAAAAAGTCCTGTAAGTCCCAGAAGAGGTGTCTAAAGGATACCTCTTCTGCCAAAGAGACTAAAGGAAGTGTACAACAATTTATAGTGATAATGACTGGAGGAGACAAGCCCTGATATATATGTGAAAAAGAAATGAAGGCAAAGGACCAAAGACTTTAGGACTGGTGGATAAGGGGAGGCACTGTGTGTGCCTGGCTGCCTTCCACACTGGCATGTTCTGACGCTTGTGCTCAGCTACCTGGCATTGGACATCTCTGCCTGGCTTAACAACTACACGTGAAGTAGCTATCCTAAGACCTGCCCTTCCAGGCTTTTGTCCAAGCACCAGCCCCAGATAAAGAAGCAAGATTTGATAGGGAACTCCTAACTGCATTCATGGCAAAGATGCTACTACAGGTACCAAAAAAACAGGCCTCATAATCGTTTTGCTGCTAAGGAAAGAGACACAGCCATTGTGAACCCTAAAGCTATTATGTTATGATAAAAGGAGATTTGGAAAAATAAAAGGTCATCAATGGGTAGTTTAGAACATGTAAATGATCAAATCAATGAGCCAAATCATTTATCAAGTGAAATCTACTGCAAAAAAATCAGTCATTAGAAAAGCAAGAAATAATATTCTAAATTTCATGACTGATGAATCCAAATATTTCTAAAATCTAGTCATTAATAAACCCATAATATGACAATAAATATCTAATTAATAATTAAATCTTTCTTAAACTCTCAAATAAACTTCTAGGAAAAAAATAAACCCATTCTTGGGTGAATTACATCAACACACATGACATCTCTTCATTGGGTGTTAGGGTTCAGGAGCAGGTCCAGGGCTCCTTATTTTATATGTTGTTTATTGTTCAAAGGAAGCTTGAATAGTACTGTTACAGGTTTTTCACATCCAATTTGTTTAAGTAGGAAATCAGAATAGTACTACCATGCCTCAGTTATCTTAAACAATCACACATTGGTCATTTTGTCACCACCACGGCCCATGTGTCTATGGCCAAAACGGAATCCAATAGGAAACATCTATTTTTTCTCACACCGTATTAGTGAGGAAGACAGGTCTCAAGGACGTTATCAAAGTCCCTTTCCCATATTCGGAGTCTCGGCTCTTAGACAAATTCCTCATCCTCTCCTTTGATATTTTAGCCCCTTAATCATTTTAAATCAACAGTCCATAACTGACAGTTCTGGTGATTAAGTGACTTTATAATGACAGAGCTGGAGTTTAAATTTCTGCCTACGTCTTCTCTAAGTTGGTGACCTAATTGTAGCTGATTCTTCCAATAGAAATACTCACTTGTTAACCTCAAGTTATTTCTGGGCACAGCTGAAATAAAACAAATTGCTTTTTAAGCTTACAATTCCAGGTTCTGTGTCTTATTTTCCATCTCTTCTTGTCTGTTTTTCCATGTAAGTTTTATCTGCTACCTATAAACCATGAAAAACAAATTATTCCATTTGAACCTTTGGAAAACACTGCTCACTGGCAAAAAATCACATTGTCTGATACTTTTTCTCGTTTTGAGTTTCTGGAAGGGAAATCCTCCTTATGGAGAGACTTAACTTTCCATCAGTAATGGGAAAAACCAGTTCTCTCGGGGTAGTGGAGATGGCTTTATAAGAGAAAACTCAGCAGAAATAAAAATCTGCAAAACTGATTTTTAATTCACGTCTCTTTCTTCAGTGATCCTATCTGTGAGACAGGACATTGAAAAAATCATAGGGCCAAACAGCATGGCACACTTTGGAAATTCTTATTTCATTTGAGGGCTATTTAAATGTGACCTTTATAACTTTAAACAACAGACCCTCCCCCTCATATCTTCTCAGGCAAATCTCATCCCCAGTCCACGTATGGCTCCGGACATGGTCCTCTTTATGTGAGGCGACCATACTGGCTTGGCCTATGCTCCTTGGTGGATAAATTACATGGTTATTTCCTTTGTGTGACTTTCCCTAGGTGGTTGCAGATGTCTTATTTAGAAAGAAAACAGTATGGGTAAATGAGTTTTAGAGAACTTAGTGTTCTATTTATAGGAAAAGAGTAGGATCCAAAGGGGTTCTCTGACACAAAGCCAACATCAAAGTAATAATAGCAGATCCTTATATGGTTCTTACTCTTAAGTCAGGCAAGCTTCTAAGTGTGTTATATATTGACTCCATTAATCCTTAAAAAACATAGCAGGGTAGGTGTTATTATCCCATCTTATAGCAAGTTGCTCGCCCCAAGCCATGCACCAACAGGGGCAAAGCATTTTTGGGGGTCAGTCAACCTACTTCTAGAGTCTAGAGTCTGTTTGCAGAACCAGCACTTCTGACTCTTGGTCCTACCCTTTGTACTGTATTGTTGCTTTGAGGCTAAGAGAAGAAAAAGCATGTAAGTGAAAATTCAGCCCAATTTTTAAAAGCTATTTCTATATTACTAGAAATATCATCACAGTACTCTGAAATGCACAGATATGGAATAGACTTACCTGATGGCTAGGGTTATATAACAAGTTATGTTTTGGTCAACAGTAGACTACATATTTGTTGGTGGTCCCATTAGACTACATCACTTCCTGATACTGTAGCTGCCTTAGCTTGTGTACCTACACTCCATGATCGTCACACAATAATGAGAGTGCCTACCAACATATTTCTCAGAATGTATCCTGTTAAGTTACCCATGACTGTGTATGTCTTCAGGGAACATAATCAAAATATTGAGCAATATATATATAGCACATATAACAAGGAAAACGGCTATCAAATGACAAATATGTCTACCTCCATATAGAATGCCAGAATATCAGTTGGTCATTCTATAGTAACACCTGTTTGTCAAGGCCCACCTGAATTAAGCCATAAATCCCACCAAGCCACATATGTACCTACCTAATTCTCTGATGAAACACTTGGTTAAGCACCAGTGGATAAATGTTTCTTATTCAATATTGTTTGATTGTAATTATAGAGAATGCATTATCTTCTGACTTATAAACCCATGCCAAAAAGAAATGAACTGGCCATTAATACTGACTTAAAGGAAAGATTTAAGGTTTACATATAAAGCAAGGAGAGTATCTTGGAGCATGAGTTCCAGAATTTTTCTCTCATTCCATGGGGTGTAGGTCACAGGTAACATTCCAGAAGTAGGACATTAGAATATATGCAGTATTCTTGAGCCGTGGCAGTTCCAGGTAGCTCTGCAGAAGCCTGACCAAAAGAACAGACTCTACTCTCTCAGCTCAAGGGACATGCTGTGATGGTGTTGTTTTTGACTGAGAACTCTGGCAACGGAGACCCCAAGGTCACCTAAAACCTTTCTGCCTCCAGGTGGCTTAGAAAAACATGCCTCCATATCAGAAAAAAAAAAAAAGAAGGAAAGAAAGAAACCTTCAAGCAGACCGAGATTTAAATAATAAAACAGCCCACAGCTTATCAACAGAACTGGCAGAAACATCAGACTATCCCTTAATTACCCTCTACAGCTGTTCATAAATACCGGAATTTCCTTGCCCTGATCTGGCTCACAAAATAAGCAGCAAATGTTGGAAAACTTAGTGTTTTTTAACCAGGAAACATGCAACTGTGAAATATGTGAGTCTGTGGCAGACAAGAAACAAAAAATTTTTTTTCCAGTCAAGTAATGTTCTCCCAGTGACTTCTTGTTATTCTGTTAAAAATAAAGTCCTTAAGCTTGACAATATTTTTTCCTCCCGAGAAAGAACAAATAATAGCACATCAAAATTTTTTGTTACATACTTGAAGATAGTAAAAAGGAATGTTCATTTCTTTTTCATTCCCATTTATTTACCCACATGGCCCACCATTTTGGGGGTTCTACAGTAAACGAACCAAGAAGGAGCATCCTCATACTCACCGATGGAAAGTAAGTCATTGTGCAAGAATGTTTGGACAGATTGCTCACTGGACATGAGACACTCCTTACTCCATGAAGACACTGGACATTTTCCACGTTGCCTCATGGACCCATAATGAAACTATGAAGTAAGCGAGGAAACAGTCACATCCCTTTCATAGCTATGGGTCACATGAGGAGGGTATTGAGTCACAGATGGAGACAGCATTCAGCCTCTCCAGAGACTGCCCACATACAGGCTTATGTCCATGTCACTCCTGAGTGTTGTCAAAAGAAAAAAGCGTTCTCCAACTGGAAGATATTTTAAAAAAATAAATAACATTCTTGCCGATTATTATTATATTGATCAAAATATCCATTCCAGGAAATGATAAACAATTGATCTTTGGAACAGTGGGAAATTCAATACCACATAGACCCACATAGATGAAGTGGATAATTTTGATTACAAAAAACAACAGGAATTTATGCAGTACCCACAGTCAATAAAACAACAACAAAAACAACAATATGCTCAACCACTCTATTCAATTGTCAAAAATTTTATTATGTTAACACAGGTGTCACCAGGAGTATCCATCTAGTTGGTTAAAATAAATATTTTCAAAGCTGTCACTTAAAGGAAGAACAGTCCCTGTGTAACTGAGGCCATTTAGTGAGCCAGTGTAAGTTCGAGTCTTCAGAAATATATTATGTTGATGGTCTCCTCGTGCTGTTTTGTTTTGCAGGATCTACATATGGTATTTTCTTGACTTTTCTATCCCCATCACCTACCAACATGCCTGGTAAAATATCAATAGATAACAGTGATCTTACAGCCAAAGATAAGTGTAAACAACTAACGTGTGAGTGACCACAGTCTAGTCCAAAGAGATTCCCTCTCCAGAAGTTCTCGAGTTTTCTGTTTGACCTTTGCATCTAATCTTCATATGGCATCTCTGGCACTTGTCATCCTGCTTGACTTGGAGATTATTTCTATCTACCTTTCTGTAATGCAACCTTTATCGGACACTAGAGCTTCCAGCATAGCATACCTGAGCAAGCTGGGTCTGCCGTGCAATATCGTAGCCAGGGGGATGAAAATTACTTCTCAGGGGTGAAAAGAATCTTAGACATCACGATGTCTGTGGCTGGAGGACTCCAGTGTTCAATCCTCCCCAACAAAATCTTATTCCTCAGTATTTCTTTTCCCTCAGGGAGAATTTAAATTTTATTTTTCTTCTGGGGAGAGTAATAAGTAATGATAATGAAAAAGAGCCTATAGGTTTGGGGAAATTTTTCAACTTAAGAAAGTAGGCAGGTGACAGTATATTCATGCAAGATATCCACCAATAAATACTAATGCCAAATTTAAGCAAGAGCTGCATATTAATCTTCAATTTCAGTAATCTCATTGTTAAGCTCAAATAGTATGAAAGAGATTTATTTTTAATTAGTAACTTTTTTCTAAAAAAAGGGCCAATTACTGTATTTTAAGTATCTCCCTCCTATGAGACGTGAACAACTGTCAGAACAAAATCCTTAAACTGTAATTTGTCCTGATTTTATTAGTACTGACTCAAAAATATTCAATAGCATCTCTTACAGATGAATATACAATCCATTGGCTATAAACCTAAGAACCTCCACTGTTTTGGCCTGACCTATTTTTCCAAAATTACTTTCCTCACCTCTTCTCTGTGAGCTCTATACTCCAACAAATAAACCTATCATAGCTCTGCTTTTGCTTTTACCCGTGCTGTTTCTCCTCCAAGGCTGTCTTTCCCTCCTCCCTACCAACTCTGCACCCAACTACCCGTCTATGTCCTACATCACTGATGTCACAAAGAGCCTTGCAGTCATGACTCTCTCTTCCTTCCCAAAATGGAAGTGCTCTTCCCTACCCTCTGCTGTCACACAGCTCACCATTTGGACAACTCTTAAGAAGTTCCACACTTCCCACCATGTGAAAAAATCCTGAGCCACAGAACTTTGGCCTAATTTCTAGTCACCAAAGGCCTGATGGGAAAAGCTAGAGAAAGGCCTGGGGGCAACATTTCTATCTAGTACAGGTGAATATCCCTAATCTTAAAATCAGAAATACTGCAAAATCCAACATTTTTGAGCATGGACATGATGCTACAAGTGGGAAATTCCACACCTGTGACCTCATGTCCTGGATTGTAGAGAAAAACATTTTATGTGTATAAGGTATGTATGAAACATAAATGAATTTTGTGTTTAGTCTTGCATTCCAGCCCCAGGATCTCTCATTAGGTATGCATGAATATTATAAAATAAAACACTTCCGGTCCCAATCATTTGTGATAAGGGATATCAAACTGTGTTATACTTGCTTGCTTTTCCTTTTAATATATGGACATGTTACCCAATTGCTCTGAGTCTTGCTTCCTTTTCTGTAAAATATCACGATACATTGTGGGAATTTAATAAGTTCAAGTATGTGACACATAGTAAGTATTTTCATGCATATTTCTCCTTTGCTTAAAATGTTTTCCCCAAAAGTTTAATGCTGAGTTGCTAAAACAGATTCATTAATGGATCTATTAGAATAAACAAAACCAAAATAACTATTTTTGTATGGTGTTAATAGTTCTTTTCCAAAAATAAAAGTCCCAGTGTAGGAAAAATCCTTTCTAGAAGGAGTTTGGGGAGAAAGGAGGAAAAGACTATGACCTAGGAGGGTGGTGTGGCCCTCACAAAGCTGAGACTGACTTCATCTGTACCCAATTTCATGCCATCCATTTTATTCATTTTGTGCCCCTCATTTGAACCCCAGATTTCAGGTTTGAGAAAGAAAACTAAATGGAACATGAAAGGTAAAACAAGATCCAGCCAAACACAGTGAGCTCTCTCTGTCTTCAAGTCAAAACTTGGACAAACCACACAGCTTCACCTGGTTTTGAGTAAAAAAAAAACCACACCGAACCACCTTTTTTAATTCATGGTTTCGGTTTGAAAATGAGGTTTCATGCAAAGCTTGCCCTAGTTTCAGAAGAGTTCTTTGGCCAAGCTCTGGCATGTCTTCAGCTGATGTGGACTGTACCTCACCAGAACCTCCAGGTCACCCAGTGTTAGAGGATTGCTTCTTCTTCTGCCTCATAAGGCCCCGGGTTGAGCAACCTTGCTTGTGCAATAATTAAGCTGACTGAAAACTATCAGGCCTATCAACAAGGAATGAAATCAATTAGTTCATCTCTTTGCTCTTGGCTTTTCTAGAAACAAGAAAATCTTTGAAAAGCGATGAATCAAAAAAGGCAAGAGAGAGGAATTGAGTCCAAAGGAGGCAAAGGGGAGATAAAAAGCAATTCTTAGGAAATCCAGCTCATCGGAGCTGTTGAGGTAATAAAAGCAGATGGACGATGAGAGCACACTGACACAACCACCGGTTTCTCCTCCCTGGGCCTCTTTTGACAGCCACGCTATCTACAGTGGAGTTCTCCTTGGAGATATAGAGTAGATTGGGTGTAACTTATGTGTGGTGCTGGCAATAGTGGGCAGGATTAAAATGTTTTTTAGACATGAACAGTGCCAGATGAGCCCTTTGCCCAGTGGCAATGACATTGGGGAATAGGGTTTAATATGAAGGACTGCCAATTCGAGCTTGTAATGAAGGAAGGGCACCCTTGTTCTCTTGGTAAATTGAGCTAGTACTTGGGATTTACAAGAAGTGTTATAGGAAGATCATTGTAATGGACATACAGGAGAATGGATTGGATCTGTGATAAAACACTTACTGCATCAATACATAGAAAATTTGGAAAGCTATAAGAAAACAGAACTGACTTATTAAAAATAACTTAGGTCTGTGTGATACTATAAAATTCACACACAAAAATTTCCCACACATGACTACACTGGATCCAGGGTCTAGAGAGATTGTGTGATTCCTATAAATTGCAGGAATTTCAACTTCCCTCCTTCATCTCTATCCATAGGAAAAAAATCTGTCCTCAGCATGATAACTCATACTGTGACAATCAAACATACCAACCATGGCAGTATAATGTCACAGGTGTCAGGATGCAAATATCTTCTAGGGCGTTAAGGGCATGAATGAAAGAGTCCTACACCCATCCTTCCCTCTGTACTGAGGACTGAGATCTGGAAGAACGTCTCTAGGAGACAGACCTAAGGGGCTAGAGCCTTATAACAGGCTGCCACCCAGCCATCTGGGGCCTTGATTTGGAATATAGTAGTTTTGAGAATCCCATGAAAACTAGAAGTAGCGATCTTAAAGTCTTTCAGAAATTTAAGTCTGGAAGTCCAGAGAAAGCCTTCTGGGATGGAGACATGGGCTGAGGATTCATGACTGAGACACAATGTCAACTGCAATGTGTTGAGGGAGAAGAGGGTCAGAGGGAGCTTTTGGGTCTTTGACCCACAGGTCTTGTCTACACAACTGGATCACAGGAATATCATACAAGGAGAAGGCTGGCAACCAATGCCTGCAGTAAAGCCTGCACCCCATCCAATGGAAAAAGAATTCACCTCATTCTGCAGAACTGATCAATGCAAAATCTCAAACCACATTTCCCTTTAAGTAGAAAGTCACGTCTAACTTATCCATTATAATATAGAAACTATAGTAAATAAACCTAACATATAAACATCTGGCTTATACAAAAGATCACTCAAGGGGGATGTTTTATTTCATGGTAGAATTCTATCAAACGGCAAATGTCCTTAGTGATGGTAACATATGACTCATTTCACCAGGAAACAAACAAAAATTGCATTTACCCACTCTTAGAAACACAGGTTTGCTTTTGGTTATTTTAATTTGTTTGCTGTTCAGGGCAGTGCATGTCACAAATTTTTTTATGTAGAGAATAAGAGTGGGCACAAAGAACCAGCAGATACAATCAATCTTTACTTCCAAAGGCCCTTTGGCACAGAGCCTAGTTAAAACTTCTATTTACTTAAATGCTATGGAATTGGATGATGTTTTGCTATAGAATATTGATATGGAACCAAATGGACATTTCCCTGAATGAAAAGTATTAATTCCAGGCCCCCAGGGGTCAGTGTTGGGCTCTCTGGTTCAATATTTTACAAATCATCTGAAAGTCAAAGCAGTAAACAGTAAAATTTCCAGATTTTCTAGTGAAAATGAGCATATTCTAGGTGCCATATAAATGAATAAATACAGAAACATCTAGGTAGTGGGATATAAAAATGCCACATAAAGTTAAATGTTAGCCTGTTAATGTGTTCAGGAGAAAGTATTCTGAACCATATATAGAAAATTACAGTCTCTAAGTGATCAGTTACAACCTAGCAAAGGGTCAATAAAATCGTCACAGAGATAGCTTTTCCAGGGGAGACATCAATGGCGTGCCCTGCTCCATCTGGGCAGCCACAGAAACCCTTTATGAAGAGCTGGTGAACCACACAACATGTCGTTATGCTTGTTCTGTAAAATATGTGGTGCTTGAGGTTTGATTGTTGCAATCATGAGCCCCACAGTAGAAACACTGCAGGCTTTTTCCTCCCTATCTCCTGCCCTCTCATTGACCTGCGCTCTGCCTCCTGGTATAGCTACACATGCATCTTCTTCAGCTCAGTCAAGGCAAGACTTGCACCTCCCCTTTGACAAAGACCTTGTTCATGGTACACATATCGTACACACACAATGAGCGATGGAGGATGAACGGGTAAGTTAGGGGATGGATGGATGGGTAAGTGATGGATGGATGGATGGATGGGTAAGTGATGGATGGATGGATGGATGGGTAAGATATGGATAACAAAAAATTTTAAATGTGCCTAAAAATGATACAAGTGATTAAAATAATAACACGCTTTCTTAATATAAAGTAAAAGAATTCTTTAAAACGATTACAAGAAAAGGTTAAAATTAACAAAGTTCTACATGCTTAGCCTTTTTCTGCATTCCCTTTATTAATCTATTATCTAGAACTCCGTTAAGGGAAGTTAAGGAATATTAAGTGACCTGCTACATCTTTGAAGGTCACAGTCTTGATTGGCAGCTACAATGTGTTCTCATAAAATTTCCTTTGGTGAAAAGTACTGACCCAACACTGGATTTCTTCACAGCTCTGGGGAGCCTAACATTATGTTAATAAGCCAATTCAAACTGTGGATAAGCACAGCACAGTTTATACAAGCACAGACTTCAAACTCTCCAAGCCTCAGTTCCCTTGTGTGTACAGTGGGGATAGATAACCCTAGAAGATTTTGATGGCCAAATGAGCTAATGTGTGTAAAACTCTTAGTTTACAAACAGCTCGTAAGTGGCTGGGTATTGAAGTCCAGATTTATCTAACTTTTGGGATCCTTTTTTTTTTCTTTTTATTTTGAAATAATTTTAACACACCGGAAAGTTGCGATAGTAATAAGAAGAACACACTCTTCACCCAGATTGACCAATTGTTCCCATCTTGCTACAAGTATGCATACTTTTCATCAGTGTGCTGTTGGGTCCAGAAGAGTCTAGAAAACGGACACAATAGGGTGCCTTCCTTACAGGGTTGTTGTGAGGATTAAATGAGTTCACAGAGGCAAAGAACAGATGCACAAATTAATCACCACGCAAAGCACAGCAAGACTTCTGACCAACTTAGGTGGGTCGTAAAGGTGCAGAGGGAAAGTGTGCCCTTCTTCCGAGTGAAGGGAAGTGAGAGGTGAACAGGGGCTGTGGAGGACAGCCTTGAAGATCAATCTTGAAACAAACACTCAGCTATTCGGCATCAGAATAAAACAACGATTTCTGTCTTCTCCCAGGAAAAAGATTGAATACAAAAATTGTTCAAAGAGATTTGAGCTGTTTTAATTTTAAAAGATGCATGCTGCTCTGCCCAAATTAACTCTGCTGGCATTCATATAAAAGGGGTCACCCACTACGCTTACCAATCTTGTCATTGTGAAGAGTAGAAGCTCCTTGCACCCCATCTCCTCATACTCTCTCAACCTTGCAGTGGAAGTTAGGATTTCCTTGTGCCTCCATGACTCTGGGAAGTCATCCTTCTGGAGGCATCTATCTACCTCATTTAGCTGCGCAATGCCTTGTTCACATACCTCAATGCATAAGTGTGTTCTTAAAGAGAATTTCTGAGCAGAAATAAACTGGAGAAGGAAGAAATTAAGGTTTGCCACCCGCCCTTCCCATTGATGGAAAATGCACATGGCCACTGCCAGAAACGTCAAAATAACCAGAACAGATATGATCCATACCTTGTAAAAAGCTCTGTATCACATAAAAACAGCCCTCAAAATGATCAATTTTGCCAAGTAAGCGTGACACAAGCTGTGGTCCTTCTTTCAGTTCTCATTCTGCTTTTCACTTATTTGTAGAGTTATAATTAGATTGTGCCTTGCCTTTTCTTCTTTAACTGATAAAGTACCATAAATCCTGGACATGATCCATGAGTGCAGTCACTTATGAATTTTCCTGGGGTTTTTTTTTTCACATCGCACCATATGCAGACCCGGCTGAGAGGCATGGTTCCGTAGTCCTGGCATGCAGGAGAGCCGCTGAGAGATATCATATGGTCTCCTGGCAGAAGTACAAAGTGCTTCTTGCTGTTTGATCTTCTGTCTTAAACTTAAATGCAAAATCTGATAATTGGGTCAGGCAGGAGAAGAAACTGAGCAGTGAGATTCATTTCATTTCCTTTTGCTATTTCTCCACGTTTCATCTTTTCTTCCTTTCTTGACCCTTCTTTCTCCTGCTTCTAGCTCCCTTTTTTATTCCTGGTCCCCGCAGGAGTCAGACTGCCCCATGAGTAGAATGGGTTAGAAGAAGAGATAGGGTATGGCTGGAAAACCTGTCACAGGGTCTCCTCTGTCACCTCTGGCGGCTCTGTGCTTTAAGTACAGCAGGTTTTGGTTTCATTAAGCCACAGCGCTGTCCTGAGGGAGCAAAAGGCAGAATCAAGGAGGGCTTACTCATTTAGAAATATTACTGCTTCTTCAGACTTGGGTTTGTTTAACGTAAAAGGAATCCATCCTAGTCTCTCTGGTTCAGGCCATTAAGCAGGGGCTTGTACTTCAAAGAGCACCAGAGATAAATGCATACTGAACTTCCGCCTCACACAGAAGGGGCCTGTAATACAAAAAGCCTGACTTAGGCCTCTCAGCTCAACAGTTTCTAAATGGGGAGAAAGAACTTTTCGTTCTTGATTTCAGCACTCCAAGACCTATTGCAGAATTGCCTGAGTGGTTACTAAATTGTTTTAGCTGGATGTAAACCAAACATGGCTTCCTAAAAAAACAGGAATTTAGCTCTCACTAAACAGAGCACAAAGTTCAGAGATGACAGAAGTTTCTGTCAGTGTCATGTTTTCAAATCACAAAGGGCAGTGAGTCACCTCAGGTGA